AGGCAATTTAGCAGCAAATGGATTCTGCCTCCCATCGGCTACTGGATTCCTGTCATAGAAAATCCACATATATGATGCAGTCAAACACATTTCAACAAGGTTTGGACCAATAGCATCTTTGTGGTTTTCAATCCTGGTACAAGAAAAGGGCCTGGTGTACCAATGCCCTGTGCCTTGTACTATCATCTACCCCTGTGCCAAGTGGGCATAAGCCCCCACCTTCCAGATTGGGCAGCATTTATGCTCACTTTGCCCTGGTCTAAATGACTGCATGAGGGCAATAGAGAATAGAGCCCAGAGACTCCAGAAAGGGAGCTACAGGGCTGGGTCTTGTCTACAGAAGAAAGTTGCACTGGTTTAACTACAGATGTGATTTTTAAATCGAATTTGTGAAACTGATTATTAGTCGATTAGGCATCAGTTTAAGCTAAACCACTTTAATACTAAAATAAGAGTGTCCACATGGGTGTTTCCACTAAATCAGTGTAGAAACCATTATAAGTTAAATTTCTACGGCGTGTGCAGACAAGACTCTAGCACCAGCACCCCCTAGCCAGGTGGCCCCTGCTAACTGCAGCTGTGAATGCGGTTTGCTGCCCCCGGTGCTGTTTTCTTGTAAGCTCCTAGGGGCTGGGAGTGAGCTTGCTCTGTGTGTGCTCCGCGGCATGTGGCACAGCATCCATGCTTAACAAACACAGAACGACTACTAATAATGCAGGGTCTGGAAGGCTGGTGATGGAGGGTTTCTAGGACATCTGAATGGTTGCTACCATTATGACTCAGACACAAATGCTCCTTTCCAAGGAAGAAATCCCAGATGCACCAGCCAGTTCTTGAAAGATTTTTGGCATCATTATTTGACCTGAGCGGTTTTGGTGAGCATCTCTCAATCCACAGGGTGCGCACTCACCAAGGAAGCACTGCCAGCTGCCTGCCAGCCCTGGTGAATTTCAGCTCCCATGAGCTCTACTTCTGGGGGCTGTGGTTCTCTGTCAGCTCGCACCAAAGGACCCGCTGGAGTATGACTCTACAGCGACAATCCCGCATCTATTTATAGCGCCATGTCTGTACCAAAGCAGAGGAGGAAGGAGATGAGGATGGCTGACCGGATCTGTCCATCATGGAACCCAGTGATGCTGCCTTCAGTTCACAGGAACATCCCAGTTCTGTCCATATAATGGGAAGTTTTCTTGCAGAGGAGGAGGGACTGAGAGACAGGGACTAATGTCCCAAGCACAGGACTGGGAACCAGGAACTCCTGAGCCCCCAATTCCAGCTCTTAGATTTGTTTCCCTCTCTGGCCCTAAGGACGTCACTTAACATCTTGGGAAAGGAAGGATGGTCCAGTGGGGGCACTAACCTGGGATTTAGGAGACATGAGTTCAATACCCTGTCACTGACTCCCTGTGCAGTCTTGGTATAGTCTCTCTGCCTTAGTTCCCACCTGTACAAGGGAGGTCACAGCCCTGCCCTAACTTACCGCAGTGCTGTGAGAAATACTATAAATATGATGATGCACTCAGATACTACAGTGATGATGGCCAGATAAGTACTTCAGATACACAGATCTCTGTGCCTCAGTTCCCCCACCTGCACTATAAGGGTAACACTGCCTGGCTCTCAGTCACAGGAGTGTTGTGTGAGTAAGTCGGTTAATGTTTGCAAAGGGCTTGTTCTTTATCCTCCGCCAATTGCATGCTTTTTGACACCCCAACTCTGGGGCAGGAGTTGTCTGTACAGTGTTCAGCTCACTAGGGTCCTGATGATCCTTGATTGGCATACCTAGCGGTGCTGCCATAACAGAAATAAATCCTCCTCATTATTACAGAGCCGCACAGGTATTCCATCATACTGAATAGTAATAGAACATGATAGCTGCTCTTGGTTTAACATGGCAGGTAGGATTGTCAGAGGGGGCCGCATGAGTGTTGGCAGCAACGGCCACTTTGAGATGCAGAATGACCCGCTGTACCTACTGGCCATGCAGACGCCAATATGGCAGTGGCACATGCAGTTTAGGTCTCCTATTTTGGAATGTGACCAGGCTTTCCCATGTGTTCATGAACCCTCCTGTTGCCAGTCAGGAGAGCCGAGGGTTTGGGGCAGAAGTGGTCAGGAATGTTTCTTCGTTGCAAAATGCTGATTCATTGACACTAAAACTTGCCACGGCAGAGGGTAACTTTCGACAAATTTCTTGACTCCACATTTTGGGGGGAAAGGGGGGGACCTTTGAAATGGACACGTTGACATTTTCTAAATGAAAAGTTTTGTTTTTCTGGTACGAGATGACTTTTCCTTTTGCAATTTAAACTAATTAGAATTTTTAAAAATGGTCACAATTAAAATGAAGTTTCAAAATGATCAGAAAAAATGTCACCCGAAGCAAGACATTTTTCAGATTTTTGTTTAGTGAAAATTTCTGATCTTTCAATTTTTCAGCCCAGTTTGGGAACATCTTCACAGACTGGGAAAACCACTTCCCACCCTACCTCTAACTGGGCATTCCGCATTGGTCTCCTGCCTGTCAATGGCCTGTCTATAGTTGGCGTCAGTGCAGGGTGGGGCCACGGTGGTGGTGGGGAGTTTAAAACACAGGGAAACATTTCTCAGTCACTTATGATACCCCTGATAAAACGCACACAAGGGGGAATCCCTACTGCTCAGCAAATTCAGCCTCGCTTACATCCAAATTCAGCCCTTCCAGGCCACAGCACCTATGGGCTGAAGCAGGATTTAAGTGCTGTCTAGGACTTGTACTGGTCTCTGCACAGGGACAAATTTCACCCTCCCAGGTCTCACACAGACTCTATTTTCCATCTTCCTAAACTCCATGTTAAGGATTGAAAAGGGGCTTATGCAGCACCCAGGGCCTTGCAAGCTGGTCAGAATGTGGTTTAAGTCCCCTAAAGTGTAATATTGCTTCGCCCTGTCTGGGGGAGTAAACCAAGGAATGAGGGGAGTTTGAAGGGAGGATGAGCAAGAGGGAGGGAGGGATGGTCCCAGGCTGTGATCCCTTCAGGCCTAACCTAATCACCATCGCTCTGCATTATTACCCTGCCTAACGCGGCATGCTTTTAAATAAAATATGCAAAGATTTCTCAAATTATTTCCCTAGGGGCGAGTGCGTTTTCTATCTTCGCTCGTGCATGTTAATCTGAAAAATGCAAATTCCGCACACACACACCCATCTGTTGGGGCTTGGCCATTTATTAACTTTTTTTTTAAATGTGAAATTTTTCTTCCTTTTTTTATATGAAAAAGCAATGAGTTTTGTTATCTCGTCCTTTTTTTTTAATTTCATTTGGAGAAAACAGTTTTTAATAGATAAAAAAAAAATGGCCCTGAGGTGGCAAGGATTACGACTCACTTGATACCAGAGTTTTAATCAGAGCTTGGTCTGACTGGAGATTATGGCTGCATGGGCGCCTGGCCTGTTCTGGGAGGAAATTCTATAGTTAGAGGGACAGGATATTTTGGGGGCCTGGTTTTGATTTCCTGGCCCCAAGCCCGATAATACTGAAATGCAAAAGTCTCAAGACGTCCCTACTTTGTTTAAGTATTTTGCACACACCTAACTCTCGGCATGTGAGTAGTTGAAGTCAATGTGACTTCTCCCAATGTTAAGCTTGTACAGCACCTAGCACTGTGAGGTCCTGGTCCATGACTTGGACTCCTAGTGCTACCACAAAACATGCGATCAACAATAATAATGACGATAAAGCAAAGCACTTCTGTAACAGTGCCTCTGTTCCTTCTATAATGGCTGGACTGCAGAGAGGCATATTGGTTTGCTATGGGCTTTTGGCTCAGGCAGTCGTGGTTCTTGCTCTTACATCCAGAGGTTTCCAGGTTCAAATCCCATCTATCAGTGGTCCGCTCAAAGGTGTGACATGACAGTTGCACAACCAAGACTGAAGCACACAAACATTTTGGAAGAGGAGATGGAGGATGCTCAAGTGGGTAGGGCACTAACCTAGGACTTGGGAGACCTGGGGTCAAGTCCCAGACTTCCTTTGTGACCATGGGCAAGTCACTTAGCCTCTCTGTGCCTCAGCTTCCCACCTGGAAAATGGAGATAATACTGCTAAACATCACAGCGGTGTTGAAAAGGCACCAATAATACCACCTGTGGGTGGGGCAGTGGTGTTGAGAATTAATTAGATACGTTATGTGATTACGAGGCACTCAGATACTACAGTAACACGAGTCCTAGGGGGCACCTGGCACTGGTCACTGTTGGCAGACAGGATACTGGGCTAGATGGACCTTTGGTCTGACCCAGTGTGGCCGTTCTTGTGTAAACTACGATTGACAGATTTGGAAGAACTCCACTCTTATTTTACAGCTCAGCCAATGTTTCTTCTTCTTGACGTCTGTATTTCCAGGGCTTTAAATGCTTTACTTGGGCCCTGGGTTGGACAGCAGAGATCTAGCCCCAGCTGGATGGCCGTATTTGGGCTAAAACAGTGTAAATCATTCTGACCGAATTTTATGGGCCAGCTTTGGCTCCGCTTGCCTCGGCACGCTGCCCCCCAGGATAGCAGAGCGTGCAACTCAGTGCAGAACTGACAGTACCATTTCTGGGTAAAGTGTCATACGGGCTGTGGGTCACATTCATCCCGGCTGTAGCACGGGTGAAGCTGCACCAGAGACAATTAATTTGCAACCGTGCTTCCCTCGCCCCAGGCCCGCTGGAGCTCGATGTCATTCGCCACCCTTCACGGAGGTGGGAACGAAGCCACAGAAAGGTGAAGTGACCTGCTCAAGACCACAGGCAGCAGGTCAATGGTGAACCAAGAGTTTGAATCCAGAACTTGGCTTCTAATTCTTCTAGGTCATGGACTTTGGATCAGGCCCTTAGATCCCACTGCCTCTCACTCAGGACCAAACCCTGCCCTCACTTGTGTGTCCTACACTGACCTCTCTCCAAGCACAGAATTTATTCCTTACCTGTTTACTTGTAAAAAGAACAGGAGTACTTGTGGCACCTTAGAGACTAACAAATTTATTAGAGCATAAGCTTTCGTGGACTACAGCCCACTTCTTCGGATGCATATAGAATGGAACATATATTGAGGAGATATATATACACACATACAGAGAGCATGAACAGGTGGGAGTTCATCACATCAGCCAGTTCATGACCATGCATTCAGAGTTTCCCACACGGCATGCATGACATTTGTGAACTCCAGGCCCCACAGGCAGAAGCAGAGGCCTGGGGGGTGTTGGGTCAGAAGCCAGAGGACATGCAGGAGGCCTAAGAGCATATCCATCACCATCCCCTGAGCTCCATCTCTAGGATTCCTCCACAATGTCATTAAAACAGCAGAGAAAAAACAACCCTAGTATTTTGCATGACAAGAACCTAAGATGACAGAGTTCAGCATATTGAGCATAATTGGCAACCTCTGCCCAGGAGAGGCCCGCAAACAAACTTGCTTAGAGACTAAATTATATCTCATCCCCGTGCCTCCAGGTTATGGTGACTGGGGTTGTCATGTGGGGTGCGCGAAGGGGGGAGTAACTGGGACCGCAGCATTCCGGACTGGACCGAAGCAATGAGTCTGGCTTTGCAGCCTCTGTGCCTTCAGGAATATCAGCGTTCACCTGAGTAATGAGACAAAAAAAGGGGGAAAACACACATGAAAAGGAAAGAAAAAACTCTTAGGAAATAAGATCAAAGTCTGCCTCCAAAAATGTTGTCCCGCAGCTAAACAGAAACCTAGATAGCCCTAATTGTAGCAGCTGAACGCAGCTCTCCAGACAGTCGAGGGAAACAAAGTGCAGGAGGTTTAAAAGCAAAGCAGGAGAAGTGAACGTTCTCACAGGAGGGCTCTGGCTTCTGTTCTTGTTCCTGTAATTCCCAGAGTTAGTGTGAGTTACAGTGAGGGGAGAGATTTAACTGATGCCATGTGGGATGGGCGTGACCAGCAAATGGACACCCAGGTCGCCAACCACTCTGGGTGTGACTGGCAAATGCGTACCTTTCATATTGCCAGAAATACGGTGTACATCTCGCACATGGGTATGTCTGGTGCTACCACACACGGGCTCTCTATGGCCAATGGGTGCTCCTGGTGCTACCAAACGCACCTCCTGTGTAGCCAAACTCACTTGCCTTTAACGTTCCATTTATCTCTAGGCCATGGCCGTTTAAAATGGCAGCACAAAGTGTTCCAATTCACAGCTTTGGTTGAACTCTTCACAGTGCGGCACCCAAATGAAATGGAGCTAGGCACAAGATGGTTAGAACGAAGTTCTACTCCTCAGGGCATTCTGTGCCAAAAAATTAAAAATTCTGTGCCAAAATATTAAAAATTCTGTGCACGGTATTTTAAAATTCTGCAAATTTTATTTGTCAAATAAATGTGGAGGCTCCAGCATGGCAGTGGGGAGCACAGGGCACTGGCTGCACAGAGGTGGGAGATCACTGTGCAGCTCCTCCCAGGACATGGACTCAGTGGGGAGACTGCACCCAACCCTAACAACCATTGAGATGTCTTAGAAACCCACCATCACCAGCCTCTCCTGACACTGATCCCTCCCTCTGCAGCTGAGGAGCAATGGATGCAGGAAGTGCGGGGGGATGGGGAGGAGTTTGCAGAGCTTCCTGCAGCTGGGGAGAAATCTGGGGGACGGTCTGTCATCCAGGGGAAGAGGAAGTCCCATCTTTCGCAGCCCAGCTGGGATTAGCAGCTGAGCCCGGCACATGGTAGGAGCCACCAGCCTGGTCTTCCCCAATCCTGCTCCTTGCCCCACAGTGATATACCTCTTTGCCAGCTGTCCTGGGCACCTGAAACATACTGCTGGGGAGGGTCTCATGACCGCTCTTGTGGCTTCCCTTTGCTTCCCCGTCAGAAAGTCATTTTTCTGAGGGGAAGCAAAGAAATCTGCGGGGGACATAAATTCTGTGCATGCACAGTGGTGCAGAATTCCCCCAGGAGTAAAATTGAATGAAGGAAAGGGCTGGAAAGAGCCTGAAGCCCTGTCTAATTTAGAGAAAGATGCAGCATAGACCGACCCTGAGAATGGATTTCTGCTTGCTTGTTTTTTGGCATTTCTGCTTCCAATACCCAGCAGTCCCAGGAAGCTCAGAGGCTATATGAAAATGAAAAAGAAATACAAAATACACTTCCCAGGGACTTATTCACCATTGTTCTGCACCTTGTGCAGCCATTCATCCCAGTGCAGAGGGGAAGGAGGAGTCAACTGCTACAAAATCAGAAAGGAAGCATTTTATACTGACTTTGCACTAGCATAAACAATTGCATGAGGTGCAGGGAGAATCAAGCCCTAAATCTTTGTGTGCTTAAAAAAATATCATTTGGTTGGCAGGGTTTCAGGGTGAGGCATCCAGTCATTGGACGCAGGTGTCCAGATCTTACTGCAAACAAATGCAATTCTATACATTAAAAATGAAACCCCACTCTGCTAGCATCCATAAGCATATTTTATTACATCCTGTCAAAGAATCCATGTGCTTCAGGGCCCAGGCTGGAATATAAAACACTAAGCCAAGTGTTTAAAGTTTAGCAAGTCTGTTCTGATTTGACTTTGTTCATCCTCAGCTCAGCTGCAGTGACCTTGTGACCTGCTTCTGCAATTCCTCTGGGATCAAGAGGCATTCACTGGCTTTGGCTGCCTCTGGGCAAGTAAATTCTGTTTGGGCTGATTATCACTCGAAAGGAACGCAGAGGTCTGCATTGCAAGCAGGTGTTTACCTGCCCTGAGCACCTGAAATACTAGTTATCTTCTGCCTCACCTCAGCCTCGCTCCCTCATCTGTAATGTTTAATAAGCACTCAGAAGTCAAGTCTGTCAGGAGAGGAGGTAAAGACAGCCGTTTTTATTAATTGATGAGCACCCAACTCAGCCTTAGTTTGCTCAGGATTCTGAAAAAGTCCAGTTTTCTCTCTGTGTAGAGCTGGCTTGGCTGATCTAGATTTAGATCAGATATTTGTGTAGATATTGACTTGTATCTCTATAGATACCACATGATATATGTGATAATGCCTTTTTTACACAGGGCATCCTCAGAGTCCTATCACAAGAATTAGTAGAGATTGTCCAAAATTGTCCACCCAGACCATTTTTCATCAAAAATTGCCATTTTTCCTGAAATGAAAATGATCATAGATGTTTTTAATGTATTTGGAAATTTTTCACTTTTTCACTGAAAAGTTGGGGGGAAAAAACCACCGCAAACGGAGACATTTTTTGTTTAAATGTTTCAGTTTTCTTGCCCCATCCTACCTCCCTTTTTCCATTTTACTGATGGAAAAAAAGGAGAGAAAAGAGGTGGGGGGAAGAAACCAAAAATGTTGGGGTTGCAGTTTTTCATTGGAACACAAACTAAACAAAACAGAACAAAATTCCATGAAATTTGAGGGGGAAAAAACATTTTTCTCTGAAATTTTCCTCAAAACCCAATTGGCATTTTGGGCTAACTCTAGATATCAGCTTTCCTATGTTAGCAACTTGATACTTATCCTTGTATATCTTCTCTTTTTATCTATGTTAATTCCCCCCCAGGCAGCATTTTTTACTTTGAAATATCTTAATGTACAATTTGGTCAATAGATTCTGAAAATATTTTTCCAAGTCACCTAGATTTGATTTGAGTCCTGTGTGTATCTGTCTGGTTGGCTCAAGAGATGGTCACTAACATGACTTAAAACTGTAACAATACCTAGCTCTTATCTAGTGTTTTTTATCTGTACAAAGGCAGGCCAATATCATGATCCCCATTTTACAGATGGGGGAAAGCATACAATTCTGATTCCAGGCCAATTATCTTGTGATTTCTGCCTGATGCTACTTGGACCCAACACCCTTGTGGAAAACGGATTCCTTATTTATCTGCTCAGTAGCATCTTCTCTGCGAAGCCAGTACTTCTGCTGGTGCGCTTCTAAGATCCAATAGGATTACTTACAGATCTTCTATTGTCATGTTCAGCTCCCTTTAAGGATATTTTTCACTGATGATCAGCTCTCCTGGCCATTCCATTCCTCTGTGGCTAATTTGGAGAGGACGTTTTGTGACAGGACAACTGGGAAATCTTAGTGAATTCCTGAAATTCTGCACTTAAGAACTGGAGTCCATTGTCAGGTTATACTAATACTTAGGGCTTGTCTACACCACGCAGCTTTCAGCAACAAGGCTGTGTCATTTTGTCACAAAAAGTCAGTGTGTGTAAACGCTCTTTGTCCGTACTTTGTAGGCACTTTTGCCAACAAAATACTTCCAGCCCCGCAAGAGTGCTCCTGCCAACAAAGCCGCTTTCACACTGCCACTTGCGTCGGCAAAACTTTTCTCTTTTGCGGGAGGGGCGGAGGGGGGGCTTTTTTAAGTACCCGTGAAAGACAAAAGTTTTGTCGACAACTTTGCAGTGTAGACATATTAGTTGTTTGGTTCGTTTCATGTTGGACATTGTGGACAAAGCTTGGTGATCTAGGATTGGGATTAGTGTTTCACTTTGAAATCCTTATCATTTTAAAGTGGTAATAGCCATATTCTCACTGTATGTCTTTCACATTCACCACTATTGCCAGGTGTTGATCTGTTAACTGCCCTGCTATTGTGCAGTGCCTTATCTGATTGATACTCCACACAGAGCATATTTTTGCAGATTCACCATCATGCTCTGAATTCTAGATGGTGCTAAAGACACATGGGATGAAATCCTGGCCCCGCTGAAGTCAGTGGCAAAATGCCCATTGACTTTGCTGAGGCCAGGCAGATTTCACCCAAATAAACTTTCCAATGGTTTGTAGTCAGTTTCACCATGTACCTTTCCTCTCTCCTATATACTGGTGGACTTTAAAGTCACTAATCTCTGTTGCCAGCATTTGCTTTACAAACTGGGCATCGTTTCTTTCTGCCTTGCTTAGAGAGTTCAGCAGAAGTGCAACAGGCTGCAATTTTTGCCTAAAGCATCATGCATCTAATCTGATGGAAGATGTGCCTCTTAACAATGCAACTAACTTATCAGTAGTTAAAGCCTAATATGTGAAAACCAGGGATCAGTGTTTTAGCATCTGCCAGCCGCCACTTAAAAGGGCTTTTTGATCACACATTTAGAGTGAAACAAACATTGTCCTCTCCCCATAAATCTCTATAAATCTGCATCACCTTGTGGAACAGGAATTTCGATTATTGATTTTGCCTTACCTGGCTCATCAGTTGAGCCATCTGCTCAATTTGGGTCTGATTTTCCTTCAGGTTATGTCTACACTTTGAGTTGGGGGTGTGATTCCCAGCTCGAGGAGACATACCCGCACTAGCTCTCATAGAGTGTAGCTGATGCAGCGCGAGCTGTGAGAGTGCTTGCCACCCCAAGTACACGCCAATGGTCCCGGACGGGTAGTTACTTGGGGTGACTAGCCCCTCCCTTGGCTCACATTACTACAGCTACACTCTATTTTTAGCACACTAGCCTTATCAAAGCTAGTGCAAGTATGTCTCCTCCAGCTGGGAATTATACCCCCCCCCCAGCTCGAAGCATGGACATACTCTTGCACTAACACCTTTACACTACCAGAGTGGTGTAACGGGCGGGACCTTAGTGTAATTGAGAATTCAGGTCTTCATCTCCAATAAAGACAACATATTCCAGCTTCTGGAATGTGGCCAGTTTTTTGAGTGAGAACAGGCTCACTTCTGAGGGTTTCAGCATAAGTTCCTGCTCCAAAGCGTGACACGTAGTGCTGCAGAAAGCTACCACCTTGCACGCCCAAAGTGGCTGCATTTTGGTAGTTGAGTGAACTGACTCCTGTAGATATAAATTCAAACTTGCTTTTTTAGGATGGGAAGTGCTGGAGGAATTGAGACGTTCTTTACCTAGTGCCTGGAGGATCCATGAGAGGTGTAAATTTGCCACCCTTGCGGCTGTGAGTTTTCTAAGGGATTATTCTTGCTGATCTTTCTCTCCCTAGTTGAGCTAGATGGCCCTGGCTGGACATTTGAGCAGAGAGGAAGTGAGGCTGCAGGCTTGGAACCCTTTGTATTAAATATAGTTTCATTAAAATAGTTTCCTCTAGACATTTGAAAGAGAAAAGCCAGATAAAAATCATGGCCAACTACTTGGATATGGAACGGATTAGAGAAGAATAAGATATCCAGGAGAAATGGTTCTGAAGAGACACAGAAAAGGATCCGTGAAGAGCCACTGGGAAAAATCTCTATTTTGGTGAATTGCAAAGGAACTTCATACCCAAATCTCTGTCAGGCTCTGACTTTTAACTTCCTTCAGGAGGAATAAGACACACACAAAACACCCAACAACAATAAATTGTGTGCATCTCAGAAGTCTCTGTGACGGGAGGCTGTCCGTCTGCAGAAAGTGTCTGCATATCAAGACACGAGCGGGTGTGTGAGTTCACGAGCAAATGGAGGTGGGGTTATCTGTGTGAGTGTGCAGACCGCTTTATGTATGTATGAGTAGGAACTGCATGTGTGTCTGTATGAATACGATGTGGCTATGTATGTTATGTAAGGTTCTGGCTAGAGAGCATGCAGCACTACCCTCTGCTAGATGGAGTGTCAGACCCGGTCATAGCATGTGACTTTGTAGCCTACAAAAGAAGAAAGCCTTAACTACAGCAATTAATGGAGGGTTTTTCTTTAGCATCAGTATTCTGGAGTTGAAAGAGTCTATCTTCTGTGTCACATGTCTGCAGATTAGTTGGCAATCAGGATGTCTGTATGTACCCTGCCACCGATGCATTACTGAGACTGGATCTGCCTGCTACAATGTGTGTGCACTCTGTTCTGCACTACACGTGTGGCTATGTGTGCGTACAGTTAATCTCTCTGGCTATGTGAAGAACCAGTGACCTGCACTGGCTTTTTCACAAATATATTTATTAAAATGCCCAGGATACAGATTAACTTTCCCAGCAGGCTACTTACTGCATTGCTCTTGCCTTGGAAAGGGATCTGTGGGTGCTGTGATAAATGAGTCAACAGGTTTGCCTGATCTTGCTGTAGCTTCTGCGAGTGCTTCTCCATCCATCTCTGAAATGCTACCACGTGATCTCTCAGAGCCATGCTCCTAAGGGAAGAAGTCCGTGTGGAGTCCTTGCCCAGCTCCAAACAAAACCTACACGCTTGTCCTGGAGTCAGAAAGTCACCCTCTGCTGGGGGCTAGTATTATTAACTAAAAGCTCATTCCAAAATAGCACTGCATGAAATCCCACCAAAGCCACAAGCATGGCTGATCCTAGGGATTCTTCTTCCCCCCAACCCATATCATCTCCCCTAGGCTGAGCAGCCCAGAGATCCTATTCCAGACCCCTAACGGGCTGCTGTTCTCACCTCCCTTCTGTTCAGGATGGAGTCAGATGAACCACACCTGACCCCAGTGACTCAGCAGAGATTAACCTAGAGCTCTCTGCAGGGCTCCAACCAACAGTGCTAACAGGAGAATCCTACCTCCCCAGCCTCCTGTTACAATCACTAAGGCTATGGCCACACTACGGACCCTTCAGCGGTCTCCAGTGTAACTGCTCTGTGTAGAGCTCTCCCACTGGCATAATTAAACCACCCCCAATGACAAAAGTTTTGCTGACAAAAGTGCTAGTGTAGACAAAGCCTAAGAGACCTCTCCATGCCTGCTGGCTCAGCGGCTCACTGGGCTGGTAATGGGGGGCAGGGACTCCCTCTCCTCTTTCGCCAGCCGCAGAAGTGTAACCCCCTATCAGTGTGCACATGCCCCTTGATACACAGTGGCTGAGTCTCTTTCAGCCCCCAGCGGAAGAGGGGGCCGCGTTCAGCTCGGGAGGTCCCTAGTTCAATCCATGGGGCATTGGCCAAGATGGCAGCCACCACAGAAGAACGTTGCCATTGGCAGCACACACTGATGCATGGGGACACTGGCCTTCCCCGGTCAACACTGCCCTAGCCGTGCAGATGTGAGAAGAAGGAGCTGAAGTGCAGACTGATCATAGCCAAGGAGGGTCTGGAGTGGTGCACTGTCATTCCCGCTACTTTTCTTCTATAAGGACACCCAAGGGTCGAGGGAATCATTAGCCAACCAATCAAAATGACAGGGACGAGAAATCTGGACCCATAACGCCCTTCTTGCTGCACCCCCCCGTCCGCTGCCTACTAACCAGAACAAGATCGGATCCCACTTGATAGGACCAGAGTACCCTACCGGCTGCCACGAAACAGAATAACAACGCTGGCCCTTTAAGCGCAAGGCTGGAGTCCTTTTTTTTTTTCTTGTTAAAAGATGTCTGCGAGGGGAGCTGCCAATCTGAAAAATGATCCTTTCTTTTTTCCATTTTCTTCGTTCTTTCCTTCTAGCTTGTGCTCATCTGTTCAGGTGAACCGCAGGCACATTCATTAAATCTTTGTCTTTGACACCTCAGCTGCTTTGGAGCCCTGGGCTTCTCCTTCTCTTTCCTTTCTGCCTTTTTTTTTCTCCTTTCCCCCATCTCTAAGCTCGCCTGCTCAGCACACTAAAAGGCTGCAAGAGAAAGCAACAGAATAGTTAACTAAGCATAACTTTAACTCCAACTTGCTGAGTGGGCCGTTTTACATCGCTGGATGTAAACAGAAGAAGGAGACTGGTTTGCTGGGAACATGGGTTTCATTTTCCAAGCCCAGTTGTTTGCAAACCGCATGCAGGTCCCATGAGGTATCTGGGCACCGGGGGCACATGCAGGGTCAGGTCTGCTTTGGCAATGGCAGAGTGTATCTCACTGTGATTTGCTAGTGTAAGGAGCTCACCTGGGGGGCGGGAAGGGCTACATTTAGTGCTCATGAGAATGAAGGTCTGACTACTTGAAATCACCATCTGAAGCCCCTCAGAACTTCGCAGGCCTTCAAAATCCAGTGCTGGGTCTGAATTTTGTAATGGATCAGAATCAAACCCCAGATCCACACACTCTGCTTATAAACCTCCACATCATGTGACTTCAGCCCATCTTGAGTGATACCACTGACTGCAAGCACTAGACAAGCATCTTACTGGCTCGCTTGCTTTTCCCTCCTCTACCCCTCTTTGTCTTTCTCTCTTTCAGATATTCATGCCGAGATGTCGCCCTCTTCCAGTCTCCTGGGTTCCTGAATCTAGATCCAGCTGAGAGGCCTCCTGCGTTCCCAGAGTTTCTCCCTGGCCAAGGCAGCCAGGTTTTTTCCCTGCCAGCGCAGCAGATTCCTTTGTTGTGGCGTGTGCAGTTGCACATCCTTTACGTGTAAAAATCGGTTTGGCTCCAGACTTCAAAGTGACCCACTTGTTTTGGGTTTGGAGCTGAGCGGTGGACTCGGATGAGCGTTTGGGGCCTCTTCGCTGAAATCACACCAATAATATCTTGACCCATGAGGGCTGACGTCTGGGTTGTAATGTCACAATATGCTTTGCGGCCATATAAAACGAAACCACAGGAGAATGAGACAGACACAGCTTGGGTTATGCATGGGCTCACTAATCCCCTAGTGCAAAACCCACTCTGCAGCCACAAGCACTGTGAACCCTGAGAAATGTGTGTGAATGTATGCAGAAAGTGTGTGTGTGTGTGGTGGGTGGGGGTATCTGTGATGGATGAGAGCGCTTGTGCATGTGTAGTTTATGGCTACAAGGAGGTTATGTTACAGGGTGTATGTGCTGGATGTGAGTGTCACAGGCGTGTGTGGGGAGTGTGAGTGAGGGGCAGGTGTTTGTGCAAGAGGAGATGCATGTGTGTGAGAGGGGTGTGTCTGTGATGGATCTGAGTGTGTGGGGGTGTATGTTGTGTTGGAAGTTCATGTACAGTATGTGTGTGAGGGGGTGTGTCTGTGATGAATGGGTGTACGGGTGTGATGGGGGGGGTACTTGAAATGCACATCATATTAGCAGGGTCCTTGTCACCATTAGTTAATCATTCCCCCTCTAGCTTCTTGCTGGGAGAAAAATGTAGAGACACTGAAGGTTTTAGCTTAAGAGAAAAACCAGTTATTATCAAGGGTGCGATCGTTCCCAGAGCTCCCAGCCTGCAGAGGTGGGAGTTGATTTTAAGAGTCTGGAGAAGATATTTTTTTAACTGACTCGCCCAGATTGCAGACATGAAATGGATGGGTGTGTAGGAGGGCAAATGGTGCAGTTCTACGCACGGAGAGTGCAGTCCACCAGCAAAAGGGTGCCACTGACTTTCAACAGGACTTTTGCTACTCAATCACTTAGGAGCTTCTGAAATCCCACCCTGACTGTCTGATGTAGAATTCTGGGAATAGTTTGTAACAGGTGATTTATACAACCAATTTTGCCACTCTGTGTTTGCAATTTCCTGCTATAGTCTCAGTTTTCCTCCTTATGAATATTTAATACTCAAAATTACAATTTGAACTGTTCTGATTGAATATATGGGTCTAGGGTGACCAGACGTCCCGATAAAATCGGGACTGTCCCGATTTTGAGCTGTTGGTCGGGACGCAATTTTTGTCCCAATATTTTGCACCGGCTTTTTTCTTTTTTTGGCTTGGCCGGTATCATCTCTGTTCCCTGACTGGATAAGCATGCCTCTTCGAATCCTGTTTCTGGTGGAAATGCACATGAATATGAATTTGAAATTCACTTCCCATGAAAATTCTGCAAGGTTGCTTAACATTCGTTCTTTCAGCAAACCTTCTTGCCAGCGAACTCTTTGGCTAGAACAAACACGGAAAGCAAACACAAGAGTTGAAAACACGGGGGAGGCACGTTTGTTTAAAAGAAGAATCAGATGAATGTTTAGGAGGAAAATAAACCAGTATTCACTCAGCTTTTGTCTCAGCTTGTGTCTGGAAATGCAGATTGGGGGAATGCAGGTCAGGGTTAGAAATCCATAGACAAACAGCTGGAGAGATAGATATTCATTGGCAGGACTGGCATAGCAACGGGTGGCTGTGGGTTGGGACTGAGATGCACTGGCAGAGTCTCACAGGGAACATTGCCCACCACCTTCCTTGTTTCCATACCCTTATTTTAAGAGTCACCAAATGAAACCCCAAAGTTTCAAAAACAAGTGAAACCTGAGGATGCTGAGTCTGAGACGTGCATATGTTTGCAGTGACTAAGGTGCATACAATTCAGTCCCATTGCAGAGAACTCAGTTATCTGGCAACACGCTGATCAATACATAGAAAGAACCCCAAGTGCACCCAATGAGATATGCCACTGCCAAAATGCTGCCAGGACCAGGTGCAAATCCCATAGCAGCAAACTGCAGAGGGCTTGTTCCATTCCTTGGAGGGTGTCATGGTGACTTTTGCCCCTTCGGCCCCAGCACTCGCAGGGACACTGAGTGCATCCATGTCTGAGATCACAGAATTATAGAATCCTAGCATTAGAAGAGACCGCAAGGGTCATCTAGTCTAACCCCCTGCCAAGATGCAGGATTTGTTGCGTCTATCCAAGACAAATGGCGAAAACCTCCAGTGAAGGAGCTTCCACAACCTCCCTAGGCAGTTTGTTCCATTGTCCTCCTGTTCTTACACTTAGGAAGTTTTTCCGGAGATTTAATCTAAATCTGCTATGTTGTAGTTTGAACCTGTTGTCTCTTGTCCTGCCCTCTGTGGAAAAGAGAACAACTTTTTTCCATCTTTTTTAAGGCAGCTTTTCAAGTATCTGAAGACCACTATCATATCCCTCCTTAATCTCCTTTTTTTTTCAAACTAAATATTCAGCCTTTGCTCATCTGGCTTGCATTCCATCCCTTTGATCATCTTTGTCACTCGCCTCTGGATCCTTTCCAATTTCTCTACATCCGTTCTATACATTGATGACCAAAATTGGACACAGTCCTCCAGCTGAGGCCTAACCAGCGCCGAGTAGAGCGGTACTGTCACCTCCTGTGACTTGCACGCTATGCCTCTGTTAATGCAACCTAACATTGCATTTGTTTTTTTTTCACAATAGCACCACATGGCTGACTCACGATGCGGCTTTGATCCACCACCACTCCTAGATCCTTCTCAGCAGTGCTGCTGCCAAGCCAGCCCCCATTCTGTATTTTTGCATTTAGTTTTTCTTCCCTAAGTGTAGCACCTTCCATTTCTCTTTGTGGACTTTCATTTTGTTGTCTAGAGCCCAGTGCTCCAATTTATCAAGATCCCTCTGAATTTTAGCTCTATCCTCCAAAGTGTTGGCAACTCCCTCTAGCTTTGTGTCATCTGCAGGTTTGATCAGTATGCTCTCTATTCCTACATCTGGGTCATTAATAAAGATGTTAAACAGCATCGACCCAGAATAGATCCCTGTGGAACCCCACTTGACACCTCCCTCCAATCCAACATTATTCCATGAATAGTTACTCTTTGTTTGTGGTTGTTTAACTCATTATGTATCCACTTAATGGTAGTTTTACCACTGGTAGTTCTTAATGGTAGTTCTAGATTTCTCCAGCTTACTTATCCGAATGTCATGTGGGACTGTGTCAAAAGCCTTGCTGAAGTCCAGCATTATGTGCACCACATTCCCCCTATCCACCAAACCAGTTACCCTCTCAAAGAAGGAAATCAAGCTGGTTTGGCATGATTTGTTCTTGGTAAAGTCATGCTGATTGCTAGTGATCACCTCTTCATCCTCCAGATCTTCGCCAATTGAATGTTTTAGACATTGCTCTAGTAGCTTCCCAGGTATCGAAGTCAGGCTGAGTGGCCTGTAGTTCCCCAGCTTCTCCTTTCCCCCCTTTTTAAAGATGGGCACTATGTTAGCCCTTCTCCAGTCATCCGGGACCTCTCCCGTCATCCATGAGATGACAGAGCTGGCTTCCCCTGCCATCCCAGCAGCTGCTGCTAGACCAGGAGACAGCTTTCCGGGCACTGGCTAGGTGAAAGAGCTGCAACAGCAGATAGCGTGTGAGGTTAAGGACATGCTGGCAGAGTAACACCTACCCAAAGCTTGGGGATGCACTCAGCCAGCTCCCCGATCCTGTGCTCAGCAGGCAGCCTAAGGGTCATGACTAAGTGAGCTTAGTTCGGTCCCAGTCAAATCCTGTTATGTGTCCTTCCCTGAAGGAGCTATTTCCCTCTTCGTAATGCCACCGCTGGCACTCCTGAGGCAGACCTACCCAAATCTGCTCAGCACAGGCACCTTGGAGGGATGCCCAGTCAATGCATCAGCTCTCCTTTCTGCAGCCGTGTGTCTCTGCACAGCTCTGTTTCCCTGCCTCCCCCGCCACCTCAGCCAAATAACACCATGGTGATGAGTGTGGTGATAGATAGATAGATAGATAGGTTGGGTGGATGGGGATAGATAGGTGGGGTGGATAGGGATAGATAGATTAGATAGATAGGTGGGGTGGATAGGGATAGATAGATTAGATAGATAGACGGGGGTGGATAGGGATAGATAGATTAGATAGATAGACGGGGGTGGATAGGGATAGACAGATTAGATAGATAGGTGGGGGTGGATAGGGATAGATAGATTAGATAGATAGATGGAGGTGGATAGGGATAGATAGATAGATGGGGTGGATGGGGATAGATAGATAGATAGATAGA